GTAATTCTTCTGCAGAGATTCAAATTAATTTGAAAGAGAACATAAATGCATTCAGGCGATACTTACTTTTGATATAGGTGCAAAAAAGTTACATTTACTAAAACACTGCAGCGAAGAACGGTAGACGCGACAAGGTTACAATAACTCTCGGAATTCCTTGTCCCTGTGAGACCACTAGATCAGTAACTTTAGAGATGTTATCGGTCAAAAAGCCTCTGTTAATTTACCTATCTAGCAGCATTTAACTCTATGTATTTCTGCGAGTTGTGGTTAATAATTCTTGGTATTCAACGCTTTTTATCTCCAGGATCAAGAAAATTAAGATTGTGTACACATTGTAGTAATAACTTCATGTGTCGGGAAACTTTTTTTAAACATCCTTTTAATCAAACTGTTTAAAAATGATTAGATTAAAAACCATTCGGTCTTGAAGTCGCCGAGCATTTCTTATTTTAATTTTATCACTACTTTTGTACATTACATCTACGGAGGAAAAACAACACCTTTGATCACATATCACGTGGCTTAGTGAGTTTCGTATTTTTTTACGGACCTCGACGAAACACGTCCAGTATGTCTGGGGTACTCAGTTAAAGTGCCATTTACATAATTGAACGAATTAATTATCGCTAATTAATAAATTAGTAAATCGTATAATCATCTATTCTCTTGAAATAGCGTAACTCTAAATGACGACACAATTTAAGAGAGAGAAAACAGAAAAAGAGTAAAAAAAATTTAGAGCTCCTTCAAATTCATGAAATATTATGAAAATATTTGGTAATATATTCGGTAAAAAAAAACAAAAAAAAAACGATTGATTGTACATTGTTTTACACCGGGTCGGCAGTATTTCGGCCAAAATTTCGGCGGCATATAAATACAAAGAAATTCAGGTGCTTCAAAAGTGTGGGTGGGTGGGGGACCTCCCAAAAAATCTGACACGCCCCCCCCCAAAAAAAACCCACAAAAAAACAAACACAAAAAACAGAAGTCTCTATCGAGACTGTAGTTCTACTGGTTTGTACTGATGAAGTAGCACTTGAACTTGAAACTTTGCAACAGCAATGAATATATAATAATGATCCTTGGTTTAGTCTCCTTTTGTGGCAAGGTTAATTGCAATCAGACTAGAACTGTAGGTGGAGTATAGAGAATTATGTATCTTAGTGTAGTCTACCTGTCTGCCAAGTTATACAGAAATCAGACCAAAACTGTAGGAGGAGTAGCATTTTGAAAGTATTTCAAGGAAATTTCTATTTTTAGTAACCATGGCAACAACATTCATCGAAATCGAAATCCGATAAACAGAATTATGTATCTTTATGTAGTCTACATATCTGCCAAGTTATACTGAAATCAGATCAAAACTGTAGGAGGAGTAGCATTTTGAAAGTATTTTTAGTAACCATGGTAACAATATTCATCGAAATTCGATGAACAGAATTATGTAGGAGGAGGAGTAAATGTAGCGTTTTGAAAGTATTTCAAGGAAATTTCTATTTTTAGCAAACATGGCAACACCGTTCATCGAAATCGAAAAACCAGTAAATAGAATGATGTATCTTAGTGTAGTTTACTTGTGTGCCAAGTTATGTTGAAATTAGATCAAAACTGTAGGAAGCTAGAGTAGAGTTTTGAATGTTTTTCACAGAAATTTCTATTTTTAGTAACCATGGCAACAGATTTCATTGAAATCAAAAACTGATAAATAGAATTACGTATCTCCGTGTAGTCTACTTGTGTGCCAAGTTATATTGAAATCAAACCAAAAATGTAGAAGGAGTAGCATTTTGAAAGTATTTCCCAGAAATCTCTATTTTTAGTAACCACGGCAATACTGTTCATCGAAATCAAAAACCGATAGACGGAATTATTTATCTTAGTGTAGTCTAGTTGCGTGCTAAGTTATATTGAAATCGGATCCAAACTCTAGGAGGAGTAGCATATTGAAAATTGTTTAAAGACGGACTGACAGCTAGACAGACAGACTGACAGACGGACGGACATCTTAGTATTGCAGGCTGGTCTCTGACCAGTAGAGGTAAAAAAAAACAAAAATGTCCAAATTCAGGAATTTGCCATTGCTCAGCCTTAAAGGAACATAAGGTGGGGGAGAGTGAGGTGGGGGGAAGGGGGGGGGGGCAACCAGCATCTAAATGAAAGTTTACTATAGCAGTACACTATACTCAGAAAAAAGTGGGGGGAGGGGCGTTCTACGGCCCTGGGAATTTCAGATAAACATAATTAAGGTTATTTAAAAAAAAAAAGATAATGTGATGAACTGTAAAGTTAACACTTTTTAGAGAGAATAGTCTTGTTTGTCCAAATCAGGAGTAATATCTGATTTATGTTTATCCTGATGTTTGTTCTACCATTGGGGCTAAATGACTTCAGCCTGTGCATCAAAAACTTTTCTTTGTCCTTTTTTCTGAACATCGCTCCATAGTCACGAAGAACGTATGATCTGGAAGATGTGTGGAGGGCGTCTTGTTTATGTGGTCTGTGGTGTCCTTGAGATAGGATGGCAAGTTCTGCACATACGGACGGTGATGTGAATCAATGGATTCACAAATTCAGGGTGTCCAGTGGCACTAACTAGTGGGCGGGGCGACCTGGCATCCTTCTCTGGTAAAACTGACCTTTTCTGCAGTCAACACTGAATAGGGTTGAGTGTCTCACCGTTTAGGCCTCCGCTGGTTGCGTTTCATTGACGATATAAAGATGAAGTAGACTGAGTGCCGCGACAGCCTAGAAACATTCATTTCCTTTACCAACTCCTTCCATCAATGAATTAAAGTCACTGTATCCCCTGCTTTGTATCAGGAAGACAGCAATCTCATTCCAATTTATGAAAGAGAGGCTACAAAGCCCACACTGTACAAACCACTATGAATGATATGGCAGGACACTAGTCACACAACAGAGAAAACCTTTACGAAGAAAAACAATAACAGCAGGGTTCCACTGGTTACTACATACCACCTCGTCCTTAAAAACCTCAGCGGTATTCTTAAAAAGAATCTGTCAATTCTTTATTCCAACAAAAGAATGGCAGAGGTCTTAAAGGAACCTCCATTGGCTGCCTATGGGTGCCCGAGGAACTTGGATATGGTAGTTAGAACCAGATTAGATAAGAAAACCCTTTATGGGCTTTAATTAAAAAGATGTCATCTCTGAAAGCACAGTTCTGACACAGACAGATTCAACGGCCCCGTTACAGGCCGCAACTATTAAATTATTAGAGAATTTGTCCTGTTAAACAGACAGTTACATATATCTCATCAGCTGCAAGGTTTTTTCAAAAAAAAAAAATGTTGGAGAAACAGGAGATATCCGCCGAAGAATCAATAACCACCGTTCTGCCATTAAGATCAAGAATGTCAATGAAGCAGCTGGAGAACATTTCAACCTCGAAGGTTACAAATCGGAGGACATGACAGTAGTAGTTAATGAACATATCCAAGATGAATCGATGCTCAGAGAAAAAGGCAAAGAAAATATTTCTGGATGCACAGACTGAAGTCGTTCCGCCCAGATGTCAGGCCCGTAAAAAAGCAATTTCAGTTGGTGGGGGGGGGGGGGGGACACAGCACTTTTTTCAGTTGACAGTTGAGGAGGCACTACCAAAAATTTCCTGACAAGCAAAAAAAAAAAAAAAAGGGTCATCAGACGTTTTTATTGATGGTGCACAAGCATACAGTATTTATGTTTACTATAGTAATCTATATATCGGCAAAATTATTGGGGGGGGGGGCACGGCCCCCCGTGCACCCCCCCCGGTTCCTACGGCCATGAATGTTATTAACAAACTTAATGATATCACCAGGATGGACGCGAACCAGACTTTACAGTTAATCCACATTATAATTTAAAATATATATATATATATATATATATATATATATATATATATATATATATATATATATATATATATATATATATATATATATATATATATATATATTTAAGAAAAGGCTGTACGTATAGCCATGCTGAAAGTAGCGAAAAACTTTGTTGATATAAAATGATTCCTTAAGACTCCAAACATTAATCGTTAATTGGCCATCTGTTGCATACATGCATCGGTTCCTAACCTGAATATTGTGTTTATTGAGACGAAATTATAATATTTTTATTTTGTCCAATTATACAGTGCCTAACCAAATGTTCACTTGTCATAATTTTTGCTCATTAGTGCCAGGAAGAGAAGATTAAGATATCTGTTCTCATGACTCAATGTAATGGAGTCTGATTTCTTTCTTTCTTTAAGTAATATCTCATCGATGGCTGCATTAAAAAAAAAAAAAGAAAAAAAAAAAGAAAATTATAAACCGGTTACCCGGCGTATGGTCGTCCTTGTTTCAGTCAATAGCCATATTAAATACCCCAGTAACCGAAGTTTTATTTTCCGGAAACCATAAAATTCTAGGACACCACACGTGGTGACAGGGAATGGGACAAAAACAACGAACCGTTAATTTATTACATGACTGAACAGTTCATATATTTATGTAGTACTCACACAATGCTTTATGTATAACTTAAGGTTAACTTAAAGTTACCTAGTATTTTATGTGTTTTCTATGTTAATGTTTTTATTTTCATTTTTACCTTCTCTTTTCCGCGAATCAAAGGCGTATACATATTAAAGCAATTTAATTATTTTAATACTTTTTGCGCACTAAACGTGACTGGGCTGTACATGCGACCAAGTCGCTTATTTCGACAACTTCTCTCTGGTTCCGTCAAAATAAGAAAATTTAAGCAGTGTAAATCACTGAGGATTGACACTTTTAAAAGTTTTATCTAACTGTATGCTGTAGGTTGATTTACATAAAAAATCTTACAACTAAAAACGTCAATTGTGTCTCAAATTAATTTGTATGTCACATAAATTATTATTAATTAAACTTCCTTCAGAATTAATTCATTTGTTATAGAAAAATAAATTCGGTAACAAAACGTAAATCATTCCTGTGTAGAACCTCGAATAGGTTAACGCACGACTGCTGAGAATCGACTACACCCAAATTATGGAAGTAAGTATAGTCATTTTAATTTTTAACGATTATATCGTATTCTAATGTAGAATCACCCTAAGTGAGTTGGTAACTTTATAGTAAATGACATATCAAAGCTTCATCTTTTATAACAGAGATAATAAATAGTATCTTTGGTACGTGTAATTGCTCTAACCTGCAGTTAAAAGTCGAGAAAATTCAAGTTGAATGAAGCATCATGTGATCGACAGCCCCATATCTGCATAGATTAGTTGCATGGTTATACTTATGTTTCTTATTGTAAAATTGTATATTAATTTAAAAAGATTATAGAGATTTTTTTCTTTAAAAAAGTCCTCCTTAGGTACAGTACATTAAAATAAATCTGAGGTTTTAGGGGTTTATATGTTTGTTCAGAATTATCTGACGTTGGTAACAGACCCCCCCCCCCCCCACTTTCAGCGTGTTTTCGTGCCAAAATATTGACTTCAGGTCATTTTCTCATTCAGTTTTGGACAGAAATGCCTATCATTTTGGCCCAAGCTGATTATATTAAATAAACTATTTTGCATTTTTAGTATGTTGTATGATTAATTGGATGTGTTGCAAAGAATTGGAACATTAATAGTAGATCACAGTGTCCCTGTTTCTGTGCTCATTTTCTTTAATCAATCTCTTAGTCTTAGTCTTTTATGACCCATTACTAGCTTAAAGTGCATGAGACTTTGTTAAGACTTGACAAATTTGTTACCCATATCTAATCATTAATTTAAGAGGAGATAAATTACAAAAATTTATGCTGAAGATAGCTTATAAGATTATTTGTTTAACACACTCCTTTTCATTAATTAGATTTAACATGTTGATGGTGTGACCGCTGGGGCAAGCGCAGTTGTGTATAATTTATTACTAGATACCTATTTCACTTTCAATAACACTTAGATCTGCAATTTCCAGTCATTAAGCTAGTGAGTTACGTTTTTGTTGTTAAACTTTTCTTGATTTATTGTGAGAACTTGACCTGATAGCATTGCATTGTGGGTCCAGAGTTACTGCAAAAAAAATCGCTTGGATTAATGTGCACAATTATGAATATATATTTGAATTTTGATTAAGTGGAAACTTACTTAAAATTTCTCAAGCTTTAAATTGACCAAAAAAGTTGATTTCACACAAATAAATGCATTGTACTGATGTTAAAATAAATTATGGTTGATAAATTGGTTCCAATTACATCAGAATGGGGGTACAAAAAAATTATAAAAGATGTATATGTAGTACTGTAGTAGTCACAAATTGTTGTAAAATATGCATATGTTGTAGTTACAAATTGTTGTTTTCAGGCTCCTTCTAATATTGTCAGTTGTCAGGAATTTTAACCCACCCAACCAGCTGTGTTGACTTCAGTTATTTTATTATAGGTTTTCTATCGATGAGGAGTTAATCAGATGACCAATACGTGCCCATAGACATAAACTTTAAACATTGATAGCTGAACCAACCTTGACAAACTTTGCTAGCTTTAGTGTCAAACTAAAGGGTAAGATTCCCATCCCCTGGAGGCTAAGGGTGGGGACACAAGATGAATGCAATCTTTAAATATATTCTTACTTACTCCTTAATATTTACTGGAATACAAACTGATTCCATGAATTTAATCTGTTGTGGGCCCCATAAGAATTTTCAGCTATTTGTCCACTGAGTGAGGCAGACTATTCTTAAGTATTTGAATATGTATTGAAACAGCAATTTTTTTGTCCATTGGGAATTGATTCAGTACCGATTCAATTGGGAAAAATAGCTTCGAAATAGAATGAACAGGAATTTTCTGTTGTGGTATACAAATAGAAATTATTTATTGTTTATTCTAACCTCAATACCTATTAGTTCATGCTTTAAAGAATAATCAAAAAGTATTCATTGTTTTACATAATATGTCTGATGGTGAAACCGTTAGGGCGAGCGTTCATTTTCTAAAACTCTACACATCTTTTCAAATGTTGTTTTACATTCTGCTTATTACACTTTTATCGTGCCTTTACTGTGTATCGTACATAATTTTTTTAAAAACTGTAATTGAAGTATATATTCTCTAACGTTTGCAGACTCCCCATGCATTGGGATCAAAATTCCTAACTTCTCGGATATTTCTGACAAAGTCGGAAATACCTGAGTCATTGAAGTGACGTCACACACAAAGTTGTGTGTACCAAAGACGCAAATGATAGTTTTGTGGGCAATTATGGCATGGAAATTGAATTAAATCGTTGTTTATTATTTTTATCAAGTAAGTTGTTGCTATGCTTAAGCCACCATGTTGCTATGCACTGCAAAGGATTATTGGGAGTATGGAATATTTTCACGTGGGATGATAAAAATTTCTTTGAACAATGTGCAGATTTCAACCCGAATTTCCTCTGTTTGTACACGTTGTCTATGGAGCTCGCGTGCCTCCTCACAGCGCTCGCTATTAATGTCTCTTGTTCTCACATTGTCATGTTTTCAAATTGTCAAAAATGTAAGACACGGCACGATTACCATCACTATGTTGTCAACAACATGCGTCCCTCCATATTAGCACTGATTTCTGCTTTCAATTAAGAAGAAGTAAAACATTTAGTTAACTCATACAATGTTTCATATGTAAAGAATTATGATGTCATTGTAGTCTGTTCCTCAGTAACTGAATTGGGAGTTTTTAGTTTCAAAATTGGGAAAAATTAACGTTTTTTGGCATTGGGAATGGCAGGGATTTTCCACTGCCCCATGTAGGGCCGAATATAGGTCCCATTCCCAATTGCAAAATCCCTCCCTTTTTCCCCAAAATGAACCCACAAAGTTAACTTGATCAAAGTTCTGGTAAAAAAAAAACATGGCCAGGTTTGAAAATCTGGATGAAATGAACAAAAGTGTAGGAAACTTGGCTAAAACTTTATCATAATTGATCTATTCTGATTTACAGTTCTGAATAATTAAGTAAAAGATCAATTTTACTTATAAATCTTAAGAGTTTATTTCTCAAAAAACATCATGCAATAAAATTTCCCAATAAGTGTTGAAAGGTCATTTAATTTCCAATTCCAAGGGCCTGGGTCCCATTCCCAAAATAGAGTGGAAATCCTTGGAATGGTACCGTTTATCAGTACCAGTTATATAAGGAAGAAAAACACTGTGAAAATGCATCGTATGGATAAATATCTTCTTTTACCTGATCATTTAGCATACACTTTGTTTATAGCATGATTATTAAGGCCAATATGTCCTCTACCTTGAAAATATTTTGTCCCATGGGTTCAGGGTTTGGGGTCATAAGTTGACTAAGTTGATCATATATTAGAAATGTTTATATCTTAAGATAACTTCTTTACTCATAGATGTCTAGCAGACAAATTGTTCATTGTCATTTAATTTGCAATATTGCAAATTTCATATCCCTTATTTAAGAGGTCAAGGTCCTTACTGGGTTGGGATTATACGTTATGTATATAGAAAATGCAAATGCTTAGATAAGAAATCTATCAGCAAAGATTTTCATTCAGATTTTGAGCAATATTATTATATGCATACTTACTACTTATATTTGATTTGTCCATCCCACACAAATGAAAGGGAAAGGGCCATGTCCATATAAGTTACAATCTTGTAGAAATAAACACAGTTTCATACATAAGAGAAAGGTTGTTTATGATTTGAAGGTCCATCACTGCAATGTCCCAAAATCATGTGGACAAAGTCAAGGTTATATAGGGATTGGGTATGAACAATCTTCTGGTGGCTATAACTTAGCAACAGTGCTAGATATTCTTCTGACACTTATAATAGAATAGAAAGAGCACAATTAAAGCATATATAGAGGTTTGTTTTACAGAATAGGTACATTGGTAATGTTAACCTCTTTCATACGTGAATTTAAACTTTGGCTATATCTTAATCAAGTGTTATAGTTATTTAGTAACAAAGATCTATTTTAGAAATTCCCTAGAAGACGATGAGAGAAATGTTTGTATTAATATTATGATAAGCATCTCCTAAGAAGACTCTTTTTATTGTGTGGTTTATACACAGAGGCCTGATGTAGAGATAAGGGGGGAACCCTATACTCAGTTAGTGCACACTCAATTCCTAAAGTTTATCTCTTTTGCAAATATTTGGCATAATGTCCATGGTGTCAACACTAGATCTGTGAAAAACTTCTTGCTTTTCTCTATCAGCTCATCTGCAAATTCTGTCTGACTCTCCCTCAATACTGACAGATTTTTTTTCTAATTTGCAGGAAGCGAAAAATTATCTCTCAAAATTGAGCAGCACGTAAGTTTATTTTTTCCTGTCTTGATTCTGATTAGATTGAAGGTTGTCTCCAGTTTTTACCTTCCGACTTTTACCATTATTTCGTTAAAGGAGAGATCAGTGGGAGAGATTCATGTAATGTAGAAATTTGAAAATTCTTTATCTCACATATTTATGTTGTATTTCTCGGCTTTATCATAAGGTGGTTGTAAATATTTTTTTAGCGCTTTGCTTAATTTTATCTGGGTGTTTCGTGAAATGTGCCAATGTCACTATTAAAGATTGTATTGAGAAATTATGAAGCAATTATTGGGTAACATATTTATTTCACTATAGTTTATTGATAAAAAATGAAAATTATTAAGGTAATTACATGGAGAATTGAACATGCAGTCATAAATATGAATTACAGCAGTAAGGTTTTAAGTATTTTTGAGGATGTTTGAAATGTTTGTGTCCATCTTGTAGGCACATGACTCGCTGAAATCAAAGTTCTTAACCATTAAGTCCTTATAAACAAAAATGTTTTCCTAATTCATAACATAAAAAAAATTCTCTGCTAAGATATCGATATTTCCTCTTTATTATGATATTATCTATGTTTTAATGATTTTGTGTAGAAGTTTTGTAGAAGATATGGTCAAACCTCAATTCCCACTGAATCTAATTCTTTTTCACTTTTTAACACATTTTTTGATAAGATTAGTAAAAAAGTAAATTAAATATGTCTCCGTCACTGGTTTTGTGGGAATTCGGTAATCAGATAAGTAAAGATAATGCCCATCCCCAGGGCCAAACATGTTTTGATGACATTCCTTTGCTTGATAAAAATTCCATTTATTAAGTTTTGCAGGGAACTTAGTTCCAATTTTATTTCTTATTCCTTTTGGCTACCAAAATGAAATATCCTGTTCTATATGAAATAAAGCTTCTTTTTCCTTTGTAGGATATAAAAATAGAGAAGATCAATGAATACCTAAATTTCCTATTACCTAGGTTTCTTGGGTTTTTCTATTTTTCCCCCATATAGTACCAATTGGTGAGGCCACAGGAGAAGCTCATTTCTTTTGGTGTTTATTTGTCATAACTATAGATTAGAAATACTAATTAACTGCTACTCCTCAGTACTATAATTCATGAAAAAAGGAATCTCTTTTTCCCAAGTGTTTTTTTAATATACTATGATGCATAAAATAAGGTATCTCAGCATTGGTAATATTGGTAATGAATCTTGATTTCCAAGAATGCCAAGAACAGTTATATTGCAATCATAATGACCAATGAATGTTGAATGAATGATGGGCCAGTCTTTTGTTTCAGGTGGTTGATTAAAATAATCCAGGATTTTCCATACAAGAAATATAAAGTAATTTGGAAAAATAGTTTAAACTTTACTTGTAATCAGTAAGAATTTTTTTAAACAGCAAAATACAATTACTGTAATAATACTATATGCCATGCTTTCATTTCATAATGAAATTTAATATAAGATGTAGAATCTAGAATGGAGATTATTTTTACAGGGTGGATGGACTGCTCGCAATTGTGATCACTGATCGAGATGGCATCCCATTGTTAAAAGGTATTTCTTCATGTAATAAAATACAATAGACAGTTTTATTTTACAAGATATACCAGAGGTATAGAAGCTGTGATGACTTACAGTGTATAAGTTTAAAGTGCTTAAAATGTAGATCTTTCTTGATTATTTGTTTATGAAACATTCAGCCATTTGATTATTAGCTATGCATGGAAAATGTCAGATTGATCAGTTGCAGCACTGCACAAAAAACCCTTCACATTTACACCTGTAGGCTTTTAGTTGAGTAGTATGGTGATGCAAATCTACAGAATTGTCCAGATTCAAAGGGATTCTCTTAATGAATTTGCATTTTTGATACAATCTTCTTAGCAATGTTTTAGCCATAGGTACAAAGTTGAGCCCACGGCAAGGCATGCATGCACACTACCGCAGAGTTTAGACAGTCACTGTAGTATCAGTCTATCATCACTGTTAGAGGCCAACATTACCTTTCTGTAGAATTCAAGTGTATCATGCAGAGGGTGTTTTGCTTGCCTGAGAGTTTACTTCAAATAAATTATTAACAGTGGTAGGTAATTGGCCAAATAAATGAAGAGAAAAAAAAGAATTAATTAGATACAGTACATTAGAAAGTTCTTCCAAGAAAAAAAATTCCCACAATTTCCCCCTTTTTTTGCATTAAATCATTTTAAAGGAAGATCACTCATTTTTTAATGATTTCCATAGCCAATAAATTCTGTGTGTGGTAGAACGATGAGAATTAGGATTTTTTTTAAACTTTGATATGGATTTTTGAATTTCTACATCAAAGAATTTGACAGTTGTGTAAAATTTATCAGCAGATTAAAGCAATTGCGTATTTCCCTAAAGGTGACACAATAATGTCACAAACAAAAGATAGTATCAGTTGAGAGCAAATTAATGGCTTTGACCTTCATTGGAAATAATTATAATGATTTTATGACATTACTACCTCGAAATCACCAAAGTCAAAATAATTATAATGATTTTTATGACATGACTACGTCCAAATCACCAAAAAGATTGACATGTGCAATTACCTGTAATCGATATATCAGGAAAAACCCAGGGTTTGTATGTATGGAGTATTAGATCTGGTTCAGATGCACTGCCAGGGAAGTGGGTGTGATTAGTTATGACAGTTGATAATAATACATGATCCAATCTGTAGAATTAGGAGTAAGATTAGCAGCATTTTTATAAAGAGATATACATTTTGACCCAAAGTCTTTACATCTCAGATAGGTCTGAAGAAAAAAAATCTTACAGATGCGGACTGAAAGACAAGAAAAGTATATGCCACAGTTGAAATATTTTGTAAATACAGATAGCAGAAAAAAAAATATCAAAGTTTTCTGAGTGACAGTTCCAGAGAATTTGAAGCCTTTATAAGCTCAGATGTGGATAGTGACTGTCAGTGTTTGACACCTGGACAAAATTATTGATATTCTATTCTTCAGGCATGGGTATAGGAATGTTCAGTGTTTTCCTTGCATGTGTTGGAGTCACACAGTAGCACTTGACACCTGTCTTGTACTCATACATGAAGAATTATATAGCCACAATATGGCAACACACATTTTATGACATGTCCAGATAAATTAAAGATACAATGGTAATAAAATTTTAACGTGTACTTTTAT